ATTTAGATTCAATATTTCACGCGGAAATATATGTGCGGGATTTTGATTTCTGCTCCAATTTACAGTGGAATTGCCTTTTTTTTTATATGAGGGAAAACTATATTGCATTGCATGTTTTCTTTTTGTTCAAATGAACCTTTCTCAAAGCATTTTCAGTTAGTTAGCATTTCTTGGTGCAAGCTATTTTTTAGAACATTTTTAACAAATGCTTCCAACAAGTGATTGGGAAGAAATCAGCCATTTCAAAATGTGGTGGTGACATGTCCCCAGCATCCCCAGTGTAAATGAACCCTATGGGGTCAGTGGACCAGTTATGGTCAGACAGCAGTGTGGAGCTGTGTGCTCGTGTTTACTCCCTTGGAGGAGAGAGGGTATTAAAAGTGTTTCCCTAAGTTAAGTGATCATTTGTTTGTTTTCAGTTGAATCTTGTTGCATGCTTGCTTTCTCTTTTAAGAAAGTAGTTTTCTGTTGCTGATTGAGTTTAATTTGTTAATAAAAATTATTTATTTTGGTTACACAGAATCTGTGGAGTATAAATTATTTCTGTTTGTATAATATTCTACCATTTTCAGCACCCCTAAAAATTGTTTAAAATCTCCCCTTAACTGTAAATACAAACGTGTACATATGCTAATAGTATGCAGACAATTACCAAATTTAGCTGTGAGTAAGGGCCTTTGGGTTTCAGCCCATTTATTTCATTTGTGACCATTACCTTAAAGTTACAGTTTTAACCCAGAGGAAGCACTGGTGTTCCCTAAATTAGATCCCTGTGACCATGTGTTTAGAATGAGAAAGCAACAGAGGGGGACAATAACAGAACTAAAACGTGTTTTCTCATATTTTGTCTCAGCATTTAATAAGAACCCTGTCTGACCACCAGAGGCCATCTCATAACTGAAAGGTCATGTGCTTGACCCTTCCTTCCTCCCCAGAAACATGATCCTAATTACAATGTGTAGAAATCGCTGATTGAATTGTTCTAAAAAGGCATCCCACACAATGTTCTCCAAATGAACTTCAAAGTAGGTCACCTCAGTAAGGTTTGTTCCTTCTAGGTACTGATATTTTAAAAGACACTATTTGGGGAAAAACAATTTTAAATGCATCATTCAGAATCTCCACAAAGACTACACCACAAAAGGGTTGACATTTTTTTGTGTGTTGGGTTTTTCTTTCTTTTTAAAACCATTCAATTTTCCACTAATTTAAATGGAAATTGGCCAGTTAGTTTAAAACAGGTATTTAAAAGAAAAGTCAAATTTCAGGAAAGTGCAGTGAAATACTGTTAAAGTAATAGTTCAACATTTTTGGAAATACACTTTTTTGCTTTCTTGCTGAGCACTGGATCAGAAGATTGATACGATCTTTATATGATATTTACCACAAAAGACTGCATAAGGAGGTGGTTGGGGTGGACGGAGGGCCAGAATCGGGACGTTTCATTTTGAAAGTCTAACCGCGGACGTTGCATATTTATTGTTGCTAAGCGTCACTAACTTGACTGCAGAGCCTTAAACATCTAAAAATGACACTAAAGGGCTCCCAGGGTTTTAAAAAGCGATGCCAAAGGGCCTTGACCAAGCGTCAACATGTGAGGAGTCGGGCATGAGAATGTGTTGCGGAAACAGAGGGAAAACAGCTCGCCTGGCTCTGTCAAAAGGTAACAAAATATGCCTGCCAGCACCTCTAGAGCTCACTAACAAACACTTTGTATCTTGCTTTATTAATCTGTACAAAAACAATTAAACTTCTTTTACAGCACATTTCTTGCCAATAAATGTTGCTTCTGCTCAGCAGTTTAGTGATTTTGGTTGAATCTGCTGTTGGGTGCTTTGCATTATCAATGGCACCTCGGTGTGTCCTGGTTCTTGTAACAGAGCCCCTACCTTCATATTATCATGCATGCAACAAATACCAACAAGCTGCTACAAGTGTTCTTCTAAATACAAAAACTTTAGAGGGGTTTCTTTGGTAAAACACGCAGTGTGATCAGTCACTCGTGCCCTTCCATTCAGTATGCTGCTTGATAAATTTCAACCACTCTTCACTGGAAAGCAGCATTGTACCAGGTTAAATGGTCCTCTATCCATCTCTCTGTGTTTCTCTAATGCGCCTCAGAATGATATATGTATTTCTTGCACTTGCACACTTGCATTCTCATCGTCACATCCTCCCTTTCCTCTCTCTCGTGGACAAACTTTGTTCTTCCCCTGCTGCTGCAATCCCTCTTTGTCACCAGACTCCCCCTCTCGCACTCTCTTTATCTCTGTTTCTTCTCATTGTTCTTAATCTTTTCATTGCTCTCCATCTGCCGCCAAGTCCATCTTTTTCTCATGCTGCTTGGTTCATCCACTTAGTTGTGTTCATTTTTTACCCATTTATTTTTCTCTCATTGTTTCTCCAGACTGTGTTTTCTTCTAGTCCTACTCCAAATTGATGTTCTCTCTGACAACAGCACTATTTAGAGCTATTAGATATTAGCTCAGTCAGCTCAGTTACAGAGAAGCTTGTTTCCAGCTTGATTTACAAAACGCGCTGCCATTTTGCTGTCACGCTGTATATCATGCATATGATAATGTCTTATCACTGCTAATTCTGCTGTGGTGTACTGAAAACAGTCCTATCCTTTGCATTTTTATACTAGCAGAGTTGCACTTGTTGTGGGCTTTACTGAATGCACACTTTTATCTGATGCAGAATGTTAAACATGCTGACTCTGTTTGTCAAAATCACAGCAAGTATCAAGTTTCTGCTTAATTCAATTTGTGACCAAACTCCTGCTAAACTAATGACATTCCAATCAGCTTCAGCTGGGTTTTGTGTTATTTCAGAAATTTCAACTGGAACGCCCCCTTAAGTCAGATTTCCGACTCAGAAAGTCGGGAGAATCTCACCTCAAAATCGCAAGGTGGCTGCTCCGAGCATCAACAGAGTGGAAGCTGTAGTAATATACTGTTTATTGCACTTCTTTCTTATTTGTGTCTCATTACATCAGTTGTAAACACAGTACTGTTCAACTTATATCTGTGGACATTATCAACTTAGTACTTAGAAGTTATCAACTGGTATTGCTAACAATGGCTAGAGGTGTCCATCTTGGTTTTACAACTTCCAATCTGTTGTTGTACTTGAACGCGGTCAGCTGGGGTGTGACGTAATTCCCAACTCCTACTAAACATAAGCACGTTAGCATTGTCACTGTGAGCAATGTTGGCACGCTGATGTTAGCATTTAGCTCAAAGCAGCGCTGTGCCTGCATACAGCTTCACAGAGCTGCTAGCATAGCTGTAGATTCTTTGTCTTGTTTCTGTTCTTAAATCTATGTTTAACATTGCTGAGTGATTCTTTTAGGAGAAAGTGAAGAGTGTCTGCCACCACATAAAGAACCCAATTCAATCATGTTTGTAGGTGGCCCAGTTTAGCCTCTATCATTAGTCTTTGCCACTGGTTACTGTGAGAAAAAGTGACATTGATGAGCCATAATCTAAAACAGTGGACAGTTTTTACACTCCTCCCACCCCTGAACACAGCTCAGTAACTAATCTCTGTGTTTCAGTATAGATGACAGAAGTTTTTCAAGGCCATACCTCTTGAAAAGCACTTTTCAAAGACATAGGAGGGTGCAATAGATCATTTTGTGTCCTTCTGTTCTGTATAATTTGTCTTGACCTGTCTTGTACCATTAGATGGCTACTGTAGGCTATCCTGCTGCAACCTAGGTACTTTTCTCGGTCTTGTCCTCTCTTCAAAGTGTCGTCTTGTACAATAACTTGAACTTGATGTGATTACCAAGATAACCAAACTGTTTTAGTGCATAAAACATCCAAATAACATGATTTATAATAATTCAGATTTTACTGCTGCATTTCCAGAGGTTATGAATCAGCAGGTATCTAATTATTTTTAAAACTGTATTGATCAAAACAAATTAATGCAAATGTGTATCTTCAAGGTTTCATACTCTTGGACTTATAGTGTTAAGGATGTGAAATGGAGGTGGAAATGTGGAAATAATAATTAATAATAATCAACAAAATTTAAATTGTTAAATATGCAGTGTTTATGCCTCATTACTGTAAAGTCTATTATGTATTTATTGTATACGTATTTATATATTAATTATTGGTGACACTCCAGCAGAGGCCAAGTTGTGTCCTGACCTGTATAGGTCATGACAGCCCAGCAAAAGAAAAAGCAGATAATACAGGGTTGGGACACCACTGTGGCTCCATGGATAGTGTTTACAGTATGAGCCCGTCTGCAACATCAATTTAATTTAACTGCTTTAATGTAATTGATTCGATTTATGACATTGTAAAACATATTTTATTGAATTTAATTGATTTATTTGAGTACATTAATAAACTAAAACTAAATTAATTATTTTTAATTTAATATAATTGATTTAATGTAATTTAATGTATTTGCATTGATATGATTTAACTCAATTCATTTATTTTAATTCAGTTCATTTTATTTGTTCAGTATTAGATAATTCAATTAAGACTGGTGTCCTTTCATTTATTTGATATTGTGGATTAAAAAGTATAATATTTTGACTTGTAATGGAGTAAAATTATAACTTACTTTCCACCATGCCGACCAAATCTAGACAGTCACAGTGCTGTACCCTTATGTATCCACAAAATGTGTCTTTTCCCACCTCCTCACACCTGTGTGCTTGTCGAATTGTTGGTCTTGGAAAGTCACTGCGCCTGAATTCCAACGTCAGACCCAACAAGCACTTTGTATGAAGCGTACTGATGCCTCAAGACTAACCCCTTGAGGGTTTCTTATAAATGTGTCACAACTGTCAGGCACATAAGCTTTTAACACTAACCTTTTTTGTGTCTTTTGCATCAAGTTAACATATCCTCCATCTGTTTCACTCAATCAATCATTAGATTTCGAAAGCCGCCTTTGTTGTCTCCTGTTGCCATCTGATGACACTGTATGATAACTGTCTTGTGTTTTAATGAGTAATGACTCCAGACAGATAGCAGAGGATACCTTTTATTGGTCGTCCTTTATAACTTAACCTTTTTCATTCTTTGTAGAACTGTTTATATGGTCCTAGTTTTTTAAGATAGACTCTTTTTGTGTCAAGCTGAACCTGAACCCACTGAGCCTGAACAAATCTTTCAAATGGCGCACAGAAGAAGATTTGTGACTGGTAGGTCACAGTTTACTGCTGGAAAAGTGAGTGATTATATTTCTCAGTTCACTTAAACATCTTGAAGTGAGACTGTACAAAATAAGAGTGTCAGGACTTCTGCATGTAAACATCAAATGTGATGTTTTTTATCATATTTCCCAGGTCTGGGGTTCAGTGTCAAAATTACATGTGTGGTAGTAAGTGTGGTAATTTAAGGATCTGGTGTGGCGTCTCGAGTGGCTGTTTACGGGGCACCCTCAGAAAAGGCTGGCATATATATGAGCAGCTCTGCTTGTTTCCAAAAGTCTGCCAAACTGGCTGTAGAGGCAGAGTGTTGAATATTTAATGGACAACAACATATCCCTCCACACTTTCCACAGTACAGCCATTACTGTATAAAGTACAATACGCTACTGAGGAGATTTAGCAAAGGAGGAAAGGCGGGCGAGTGGCTGCAGTGAGTCAAGCAGATGCCACCTGGGGGGACTGTGTTGGTGGACTGAGGGGCTGCAGAGAGAAAGATTGATGGCCGGTTATTGCAAAGCCATGTCCATGTCAGAATCGGGGGACTCTGTAACACAAAGCGCAAATGTTAGGCAGATTAGATTGGAGATAATCAAAGTGTCAGGGCACAAATCACAAAGTGGTTTTTCATATTACAAAAACCATAAACAGAAAGAAGAAATATCCAGTTGTGTGGCCTCTTCAGTTGTCAGATTTCAAATGGTCAAATGGGACAATCCAGTGGTCCCAGATATGAAGAAGCCTTTACATTACTTTTATCAAACCGCTCTGATGTCAGTATTCACATTTCACTGCAGAGGCAGTGGTGAAAAGGCAGTGGTTGAAATAGTGTGTGTCGATTCATGTCATTCATCCATGTAATCAGGAAGAAGTAAAACAATCCACTCGACAGTAGAGTTGGAGATGTTTTGCCACTCATATATATTTGTTTTAACCTGTTATCAGGTCAAAGCATGTTGTGAAAGAAAAACATTTTATTCCCTTTCATATACTTTGCTAGAAAGGTAGACATTTTGTGGCATCGATTGTACTGTCAAATGTACCAATACCCACTCATTTGTCATCTAAATGTATAAATAAATATTAGGGAGGCCTGGGGGTTGACAAATGACAAATGAACACACGTGGTTTGTGGCAATTTAAAAAGACCAAACTGCTTCCATCCAGGAGGGCTTCATCTTAATACTTAATAATTCATTGGTTCTAAATGTTTTTTTGTATTTTTTGTATTTTCAGCTAAGCGAATACTGCTGATCAGACTGGCGGTGTGAAGCACAGGAAGAAGCAGGATGTAGAAATCCTCAGTGGGTTGATACACGAGCCCTTAAATTACCTCAATGGTTCTCCCTTTTGAAATTGAATAGGCCTCCTGAATGATTTAAGGGCTGGCTTTATGGGAATAATGGAGAGCAAGTGCGGTAACACAGTGCGAACAGGCTAACAAGCACAAAACAATAAACACAGACGCAGAAAAACACAAAAGCTGAATATAAATATAAATGGATGCCCACATATAGGCCATGTGAATAGACACATGAGGGCTGAATGCATTGTGTAGACACGAAGTAAAGCATAGGTATGAAATCTTATGAATGGATGTTCATGCACAAATAAACAGTGTTGTGCATTTGTATTGGCTTTAAGGCTCATATTGGTAATGTAGCATGCTCACACTCGCCCACCTTCTGCTCAGTAGTCCTCCCCTATGTCAGTGGTTCAGAGACTGTAGGACAGGCACCTCCTTTGGGGATGTATAGGCCTTTTAGGGAGGTGGGGGGGAGAGAAACTACAAACTAAAGGACAAAATACTTTGTACATCATTACCTTCCAAAGTGAACCATATTAGCGTTTCTACTCTGATGCCCCTTATTGTCAGGACGATATGTCAGTACTCCTCAAAAAGGTTACAAACGATTTCTATAATAATTTCTCACTGCTAAGCTGGTTAAGTTTAGGCACCTAAACTTGGTTACAGTTAGAAGCCAGCGTTGGTAGAGACAGGATGTGAACAGCGGTCTCCACTTTTTTTGTCCCATGCACCCCGACCTCCCTAAGAGCTTTAATGCTACATATTTGCCAACATAGGTTGTTTTGAGGTGTTACATAATGACTAATACTGTGATTTTCTTTATAGTCTCACATGACCAGGGGGAATGTGTCAGATTCATGAGCACAAACAAAAGCACTTTTTGCTGGTAAGGCTGTCATGATTCAGATTAGCAAGTTGTATTAAGACGGTAAAATGTTAGTGACATGTTCAACTTTCAAACGTTCAATTTTGAGTTGTGTTTGTAATATAAGCCCAATATTCACTTTCCTTTACGTTCTGCTTTGTGGCCAATCCCATTTTTCCCCTTGCCCCTACCCCTTGTTTTCGAGTGTATCCCTTGGCCCTTAAAACAGAGTTACAAGGGCCAAGGGGTTGAAATATTCCCCTACGAAATGGAACAACCCTTCAGGAACCCGATACGTCATCAGTAGTCGACGACGGCTCTGACGTTAATAGAAGCGACAAGTTTTTACAGGATTTCTCCATGACGACGATTGCAAACAACTCCAATATGCCATCCTCCGATGGTAACGTTATATCACACATGAAGCGATCTAACAAGTCACCAGTTAAAAATAAAAAGCACAGCTTCATTACCAGGTTTAACATTACTAGCGAAGCTAGCTAACGAGACAACAAGCTACCGGCTGAACTTTTTATGATTATTTCGAAGAAAATCACGATATTACATTGAAATGACATTAAACTAAGAATAACCATGGTAATCATAAATTATACAAAGAAAATACTTGTATTCTGGGAACTTTATTGTAGCCCTCTGTTTGGAGTGTGCCTCTGAAAAATCTCCGTTTCGAGGGCTATGTAGCCCTCCCATTTCGCCCTTCCCCTCTATCGCAACAAGAATTGGGACACCCTACCAAGGGCCAAGGGGTAGGGGCAAGGGCTGAAATGGGATTGAGCCGAAAGCGAATTTAAAATTTGCCTCGCTTTACTTGCACGGGTTTCACCGCTGGACATTTTGAGTGTTCACACACACGCATTTTAAGCGAATAAACAGCTATATGAACACAAAGTAAACCCTTGGCTGTGATTTAATATCAATAAACGGATCAAACTTATGCCAAAATAACTAATATGATGCCGTTTTGTTAGACATATGAATTCATGCTTTGTCAGGTCTGTCAGCAAGTCAGCAGGACAACAGCTTTTAAAATACGTGTTTTCTGAATGGAGTTCGGATCGATCAAGGCTATGCTATGCTAACCTGTTCACAGTAAAGTACAGCAACAGCTGGAATAAAGTTACAGACACACATTTTCTAAACTCACCAGGTAGTTCAACTTCCTATATAAAAATGAAGTAGTAGTCCAGCAGAACTCTGGTGCCATCCGACGCTAACAACAACAGTGGAACCGGATGTGCACAGAAGCTAGCTGCCGAGAAGCGCGCGTGAAGATAAATCAAGTTGTAATTCCAAAAACTAAAGTAAAAAGCTAATTGAATAAAACCAGTTAACTTGTCAGAGCAGAATCCAGACTACTACGAGTGTTTATTTGTCCGAAAGCTGCAGCGCTACTGCCCATCCACTTACCCGTTCTTTAGCAGCTCCCCGTCGGCCAGTGGATTGTCATTACACCGCTCGCCTGGTCCTCTACAAGCAACGCTCCAAAGCCGCCGGTGACATTTGGACAATCTTACCGCTGATTTGCTTTCACAACATCGCGTCAAAAATTTGAACTTGCACGAACCAGCGAATTGCGTGACAAAACGCCTCATTCACGCCGCCTGGAGCGAATTCACAATTTGCGTCTCTGCATTGACTTTGTATGTGATCAAGCCGCCCAAAACGCTGGATTCGCTTTCGGTGGGAATGCACCTTTAGTCTCCACTAATCTCTGAGAAAAATATCTGCATCTTTAGCTGCTAAATGCTCTTCTATGTTTACCGGCTAGTTGCTAACTTTGACCGTCTGTTGTTTGGTGCTGTGCGGGTAGTGTAGAGTGTATAATCAGATTTTTTAGCTTAAAACAGAGCCTTCTGCGTCTGGAAGACGAGAGGGGTGAGAGGGAACCAAATCAGTGCTTTCCCCTCTGCTCCTGGAAACACTTCATCACAGAGGGCATGGTACTAACACGGACGCAATATAAGGCAGCTCTGCTCAGTTGACCTCTTTGTTCTTGTGTCTTTCCTGTTACGTATTCCTGCCGTTAACCTTCTGTTAATATGGAGCCAGTCTGATCTTAGACCTCTTGTTCCCTGCTATTCACCTTCTATAATTCAGCTTACATTTTGAAATAGGTTCTTAACTCAAAAAAGGTCATTTGACATTTACAATGGTTTTCATTACTGTCTGTCTTTTTCAAAAGACTATTCTTCATCTTGTTTCTCATTCACACCTTCTTTGTGTCTTTACTCTTATAACACAAAACTCATAGTCAAGTTTTCTTCTTTTCTTTCTACCTTTTCAGAAACACCGCAGCTCATCCACATTAACCCCAATTTTTTTCTCCTCTTGCACTTTTCCTTTTTGTTTCTCAAACCATACTCCTACACTTCTGTGATTTTTTTTGTCTTTTGTCCTCCTCTCATTCTCTCTTCTTTGGACCATGGAGCAGCTGTATTTTTGACAGGACTAATAGGGTTGATAATTTACCTTGAACAAGGGCAGATGCTGGCTACATTTCACTACAGTTGCTATGCAAGTCAAGACATTGTCACCGAACTGTGAAAGTCTAGTGCACTACTGCTGTTTCAATGAACATTAGCATTCACTACACATACCATTTGGTGGCTGCTTTTATCACCTCTTGGTACCGTGTGTGTACAGTTTTATCACGCTCGGCCACGGAGGGAATCAAACCACTAACCATGCCAGTGTTACTGTCACGCTTTACCAACTGAGCCATACAGAAAGCGTTCTACTCGCATGGGATTATTCAAAAATATTCTGCAGCACAGGGCCCAATGCTTACACGAATTCCTCGACTGCATTACTAGTTCATGAGTTCATGAAAAGTAGAGCACTTTTCCCATTTTTCACACAGCCTTCAAGTGCGCTGCAGTCTTTTGGTGCAACCGGTACCCAATCACGGGGCAGTCAAAGGAAATGCTAAACAAGATGATTGGTCAGGAGTGGGGCGTTTTCAGCAGGACATTTTTCACTTCACAGGCTACAGTAAGAAGTTTTGCAGTGATGATTTTCAGGTGTGCACCATGAAAAATACAGGTGTGTACTTACATAAGCTCACACACACACACACACACAAAAAAAGATGTACAAAAGCTATCCCTGAATAGTAAACACTGACTCAGTGACCCTGTTTTTCTCACCTTCACAGTCCTGACAAAAAAGATGAACTGAGTTTTTGAATGCTAACTCGGAATAAATCAGAATAAAATGTTTTTAACTTTTAATTATTCCTTATTTAGCCATGACAACTTAATGTTATAGAGGTTTTAAAAGAAGTGTGTACGTAGGAGGCAGGGAGGGATGTAGTAAAAGAGGCTATTGAGTTGAATTTTGGGAAATGTAGGATGTTTACGATATTTCAGCCTCTGTTGTTATACTTATTCTGTCTCTTGTGAGATCCCCAACTTAATGAAACTACAACGCTAAATTACTGAGATTCCCCTTTTAACAGTGCTTAATGACACACTAAACATACATGTGATAGTAAGGTATGCTGGTGTTGCACCTAATACTGTGCCTTGTAGAAAGTATTCCATTCATTTTACCATTTGTGTGGTATTTAAATGTAAATCTGTCTTAACAATCATAATAATTATCATAATAATCAGTTAGATCTTGTTTGTTTACTCCCTGCAGCACCTCTGGTACTAACGGTCAACAAATCACTGCCATGATTTGATTTGTGCCAAATGTCTATCTTCCCTTGATTTGAGGGTGTTGTCAAAATCAGAAAGACTGAGCAGCAAAGTCACACTGACGTCTGCTGAAACAGTGGTTGGCAAATGTCATAAATGCTGATTATAAAGACTTTGTATAGCATGTAGATTCTCCTTTATTCTGCTATTAGAAAGCAAAATATTTAAGTAAATAGTTGCACCTAATGGATGATTTGTAAAGTTTGGCCAAATGTAGGAAAACCCAACTGTTATAAATGTGAACACATGCTCAAATTTGGGCTTCTTGACACTTTTCAGACTTAAAATAGATTAAATTAAATTTTAACAATCCGCCATGGGAAAAATTTGGGATTAGGACAATTTACAAGCTGCAAGCATGTTTCATGAATCCAACACTGTTTTCTGGTACTCCCTCAAAAATAAATATAACATAAAAATGTTCACCTCTCTCTATCTTTCCCTCTTATTCACATTCTCTTTTTAAGATGCAGACACACACACACGTGTGGATATATGTAAGTCAGACATGCCAGCTAATGTAGAGTGTGGAGCAGGTTAACTGTTATCTGAGACTGAAAGCCTGTACGTGGCAAGTCTGCCATCTACTGAGAAAGAGAGAGGAGAGGTGTCTTATGTGATGCACACAGGCACTGTATTGTGATGCAGATATTCATCTTTATCATGCTTGGTGTAATTTAAAGCCGTTATCTGCTATATCTCAAGAAAGGTTAGCCAAACAGTTAATGTTTTTTGCTATCTTACTGTCAAGTAAAGCTAGATATATTGATCTGCAGATTAGAACGTTTTACAGCACACCTTTGTCAGTATATCTAATATCTTATGAATGAGTTAGCATGAAGACCAAGGTTGCCTCTCTCTCTCTCTTGACCAAAAAAATGCATAAACAGGACTTTTGACTTTTTCTGTGCTTATTATTCTGGTTCTATATCTGAAGCAGAAGCGCAGATGTTTAGTTTCTCCATTTGCAACACCTGTTATTCAATTAAATTCAAATTGTATTTGTATAGCACTCTCATACAAAGGCTTTACATAAAAACAAAACATCATACATACATACATATAAATACCCATACATAATGTACAAAATACGTTGTGTTCATTTAAGAAAATGCTCAACTAAAAAGGAAGGTCTTTAGTTTGGTTTTAAAAGAACGTATAAGATGTTTGAAAATGCCCAGGCACATGGATACATATATCAGACTCGTGTTGACTATTTTCTGTTTCCATTTCCTGATGATATTAAGCTAACAAAAAGCTAATCATCCAATAATCTTTTGGCATAGTTTGCTTTGTTTACTCAAGTGTGAAAAAAATAATTAATTTTCACCTTCACTGAAGAGTCAGCATATCACCAAAAGAGTCAACCTGAGGGGAACATGTATGTCTGTAACGCATTTCATGGCAATCCATCCAATAGTTGAGACATTTCATGGCATTTATTTATTTAAAAGGGACAGCGTACAGTAAAACATAAATGGTTCCATTTTTTGCACTGTACCAGATTAAAGCTTCAAGCTAATTCGCATCTGCAGTCTCTTGGCCGGTCATAATTAAAAACGCTAAGGCTGACCAATTTGTTAGAATGCCACCAAGATCACAACATCATCAAATAGCATCCCAATCATATCGCGACGTACACAAAAACAATCGCAATATGACTTGGCGGCCCGCCACAGTCTATTTTGTTCCGTCATAGTTTCAAAATCAACTGAAAATATATTGACATTAAAGACTTCTAACTGTGTCTGTTTCTGCCGCTGCTGTAAACTGGCACGATCACACACTTTGGCATCTGACTCGAGACAACCACTTTTGTTTTGAGGTAATTACGGTAACATTAACTAAGAGTTTGAACAGCTTTGAGTGTATACACTGACACTCGTCAGTGAGAATGCGATCAAGCTAGCTGCTAAATTTGGAGTGCACAGGGATTAGAGACTTATGGTAAATGCAGTTAAAAGGAGCAGAGCGAGCTGACAGGCAGGGTTAGCAACTTTATTCTGTCATTTTCTCTGCAGTATGAGAGTTTTGAAGAGAGGCTATTAAGTCTAAATTGTACAAGGACAACATACAATATAATTTATCAAATTGCGTCGGACTTGATGAATGTAGCTAGAGGATGGACATTTGACATCCGGTTTTCAAAATAAGGTGTTAACACATGGTATACAGGATGGAAATAAGATTAATGAAGATTATATTTACAGGAAGTATAAATCATGTTACATGTGTCCATTAAAAGTAAAATAAAATTTTAGGGAAACAAATTACAAATTATTCTTTGATTTAGGGTTGCTGGAAAAACTTTAAATAAATTAGTGGACATTTTTGTAGTTTCATCAACATTTATATCTTTGCAGTGTGTTTATGATCAAATTTACCATAGTCTCACAAAGTCCTGTGGGAAACACTGCTTTGAGCCACGTCGCTCAGCCCCAACACAAAGTCAACAACACACAAGAACTACTCATAAAAAGCCCAAAATGTCAGTCTCAATTATGGTGCTAAAGGAAAAGTCAAGGGATCCCCCAAAGTCATTAGCATTCATCCTCTGGGGACCACGAATGTCTATACATATAATGGCAAGCCATCAAATTGTTGTAAAAATATGTAAAAATATTTCAGTGTTCGACAGACCGACGTTGCCATCCATAACGCCATGCTGCTAACATGAATAAAAAGCTAACTCTGGTCAATGAGAAGTCTTATATTTTAACTACACAAAGGCTCGATAATGAATTAATGTTTTACAGTGTTACAATTCCAACATTTGAGAAATTGTTGTGTTAACACTATGGCTTGGGCCCATATAGACACTTTTAGATTGTTGAAATAAACTCTGATAGTGTTAATTAGTATTTGCTGATTTTGCTGTGTACGTTATAGCGCCTCTTATCTCTACAATATCTAATGAAGCAAGAAAATTAAAGCAATTTACTGTGAATTTTGGAAGATTTTAGAAGTAAGGGGGGGTAAAGGTAGATATCCAGAGGGGGTATTATTCCACTACCATGTTTTTATTCAATTTCTCTACATCTTAGCAGCAATTTACCCACCTACGTGTACAGCACCACAGCACTGACAAATAGGCAGGACAGAATGAAAAATCAGTTTGAATAATTCTGAGTGGGCGTCCTTTTGGAATTTCTGGGCCCAAAGCTGTTCATTCCAGTTCTGATTGATTACCTTAAGAAAAAGTAAATCCCATTTCAATTACTAATTTGACCCACAGCAGCTTCCAGCACACTTAAGTATGTATGAATGCCACACACACAGTCGCTAATCACAGTGAGCCTGCAAGTGAAACTGTGGATTAAGGAAGAATGTATACGTTGTATAACTCCCACACTGTCCTCTTAATCCCTATATATCCAATTTTTGCACAATCGAAAGGATTTGTGGAAGTTATACATGACAGATGAGATGAAATCAACTTTCTTTTTTCTTAGTTTCTTGCTTTCTTTCTTTCATCTTGTGTTTTATTCATCAAGAACTGATCAAAAGTCAATCTCCGTCATGTCCGTGTAGTGTTGCACATACCTGTATATCTTCGCCTTTGTGCAGTTATCTTTCCCTCGCAGCCAAAGCTGAAGATATACAGTAGAGGCTTCATCTTTTCTGTCTCATCCTGCGCAGGGGTTCCTGCACTGTGTCACCACCGAGCTCAAAGGGGGAATCTGTGACTTGATAAGTCCGGGTAACATCAAGGAGAAGCAATGTTTTATTCATCGGCACAAAGCTCCTGAATTCACTCAAATCAAATTCACCCGCCTTTGTTTGAGAGATCAAGCTTGAGGTTTGACACATATAGAAATGATTGGTTTCTTAGACTTATAAAAAAAAAAGGGAGGGAGAAAGTTATGAGTTCAGGAGAGGACAGAGTGATTTTTGGGGGGGGAGTTAAATGAGAATATATTTAAAAGATAATGTTAGAATTAGCGTCAGAGTTGAACATGCTAATTTTGTGTTACACAAACTCTCCATCAAAAATGTCTATGTCGCAAAATCTTGCATGGAACCTTTTATTCATCTCTGTTCCACTTTGAGTTTTTCACTCTATCACACAATCTGTTCCAGCGTTGTCTCTCGACAAGTCAGCCGCTCTCACATTCGGGTGACCTTGGCACCCTGCTGATTCACTTGTTTTGTTTGCAATTCTTTCATCCTGCATGCTTCTCTCTCATGCCTCTTCTACTTTTTAGACTGTTATATCCCTCATCTCTCCCACTCTGATCTCCTACTGTGTCAAAGAAATTCAAATACTTTTTGAGAAGCACATGCCGAGGTCAGATGTGGCTCACAAAAATTCAGGATTTGTTTTACTTTTAGATTGGACAATGCAGTAATTGCCAGAAAGGTCTCATCACTCGATAGGTGTTCAATAAAGCCGAGCCCTGCAGGAATATAAAATGATTAGGCGTGAATTTCTATGACGCACGTTGGGGTTTTTATCTGCTCAAATGTTCATATTTTTGTACTTTCTTTTCTTCTTGTTTTATCTTCTGTCTTGTTTCACTGTGTTTCATCAACTAAAGTAAATTAAACTAAACCCCAAGACGCACTTCACGATCACAGCAGTGACTTTGAGTGTCAGGCGGGCTCATAATGTGATCCAGGTCACTGCAGCAATGTCACAGAGTTACAGTACTGTCGAGTTCTGAACTCCACTCAAGGTTTGAGCCATTCAACTCCTGTGCCAATGTCTAGATGTGGAAGGTAATACAGAATCCTTTTGTTTTTCAATGAGAGCTGGTAAAAAAAAAAACAAATTGCAGGCAAAACTTCCAAACATTTTGTTTAAAGTTCTGTCTATGGAGTTAGAAGATTCCTCTCCTGCTTAATACCAACTGCCTTGGTTTAGACATTTTCTAGAGATGACTGTCAGTATCTTGAAAGAAGATGAAGGATGAGGCACACTGCTGCAAGATAATGCTACTTGTTTCTCAAAAATAGATTTGCATTGGAAACAGGTTAAATATTCTCACCCACTACTAGATTTAAAAAATTGGGGGAGGGTCTAGAGGTAATTTAAAATAGTTAAAATGTACATTTGTTGTTGTCTCTTTTGTGTCTACTCAGGGCTAAGGAGCGATAACATTTACACTTTGCTGGTATGTGCAGTAAAACAAATAGTAACAGGTCAACAGTCTTGCATCACTTTAATTTCCATAACCAGTACCTCATTTTATAATCATTTTTAACCCAAACATCCTGCACAACAGAAGGTGGACACTGTAGTTTATACACCCATACGTAAATATGCTGTAATATTAGACAGAGAAAGAAAGGATCATTCTTTAGTGTTTCTGTCTTCTGAGCAGTTCATGATCACACATCATTATGTAAAATACATCTCCAGGCCCCTCATTAGCCTAACATTAAATTAAATTCAGCAACAAGGCACAGTGTACAGCCAATGTTGCTGCTAAGTTGCATGTAATGTAGGAGATTTACTTTTACCCTGCCATTACACTCACTGTGACCTGCTCTGTGGAATAAAGGTGTCAACTGAAAAATAACTTACCCACTAGTGGGACAGCCTCCGGTGCGAGAAACAAGAAACATTGTCAGCAATCCTATAAGACACAATAATTTTACGAGTTTGTTAGTTTGAAAGCAAAATAACCCAGCCTAGCGTTGTTGGCTAACGTTAGCTAGATAATCAAATCAAATACACAGAGTGACAAACAGCTATGGTAATGTTTGCTAGCTAGTTTTACAACACTGTTCAAAAGGGTCCAGCTGCAGCACCGCGGGCCCCTCACATCTCCCTCCTCTGGCCCCACCTATGCAGGTATTATCATAAATAATAATAAAATATATCATTAATTCATTAATATCTGAATATGATACAGCAATACATGGACAATCAGTGACCAGCGATAGCATAACTAATGTCGAAACAAACTTTTAAATTAGGCCTTGTAGCTCTAATATGAGTGAAGATTCAGCAACGGATTTTGGTGGACTGCTAATGGGTAATAAGTGAATGTTTACGTAGCCTACTACCCATTCAAAGGAAGCCGTTACTCATGCTCAAACCCCACTGGCTCACAGAACAAGGGCCCCTTAGAATGGAGGGGTGCAGTTGGACCCTTCTCACATAACTGCATGCGAAGTCAATCTTAGTTCATGGACCCGACCTGGAAATTTCATGTACCGGTACCATCTGAGGTGGCAACGGTTCAACGGTCCTATGTTGTTCTTCACATCTTCAATGAACACATTTATATATGACAGACCTGTCAAAAGAGTAGCTAAATACGAGCCGAAATAGATCGGTTCATTTATGGAGAACAATGGCAGTAACCTGGATGCAACGCAACGTTATCCCTCAACAGAATGTCTTTCTTCCCCCTTGCAGGTCTGTTTTTTTCTGCTCACTCATCCTTCACACCTTTTTCACCCCTAACCAGTTTACATGCCTGCTTGTTAATCAAATATGTGCTGTAGTCAGTTAGTTAGTAGCTTGTCACATCTGTTAGACCTCAACCTGGCTCAGCAGCACTAAGTAACTGTTTGGGCTTCATCACGTCTTCTGACGAAGAAGCTGACACCTATTAGAATAGGTTTTTGATATTTGGTTGAGGTTAGCTTTGTAACCGTGGTGTCACTCAAAGAGCTTGACTGTAACAAAACATAATTTTAGGTGACAGGCAAAAACACTACAATTAGGACTCAGCTTATTGTGAATCATCAGAAGAAACATTGCAGCTGGGCTGGCTGGATGTACACAGGAGCAGAGCAGAGAAAATGTGGTCAGAGTAAATAAATCTAAAAACCTGAGGAGTGTGCCCGTATAGTGTGAACGGTTTTAGGGGAAGGTTTTTAAGTGTGTTACATTTTCAAGACTGTAGAAACGTAAAGGTACAAAAGATTATATTAAAAGCTCCTTCTTCTGTATACAGGATATAGCAATGCTGCTAGCCACAAGGCTGCACTCAGAGAAATGTCATTATAAAATTTAAATTAAAAAAATTTATAAAAACATACAAAAAATGTAATTGTGAAAAACAATTTAAGTATACACAAAATGCACACCAGGCCCCAAAATAAATATTTGACACGTGAAAGCTTGTGTATTTTTCAATTTAAAGGCCCTTCACACCTATGCCCACACAGGTGATTTCCCTTAGGCTGATTAGACCTCTACTTGGGTATGGCTGCATAAATATCTCATCCTTCGTACCAAATTACTCTAAAGAGCTTTACCTGATTGCCACTGTCTTTTATGAAATTCACACTGGGACTGTTTATTCTCTGTCTTTCACTGCACCTGCTCTGTAACTTGTATTCTCCTTATCTTATTTCCATCTTCTATTTTATTTCACTCTTATTTATATGTGTCTTTTCATAATGCCATGCATTTCTTTTATACCTTTTTATAAATGCCTTTTATATCTTATGTGAAGCACTTCACATTGCCTATTTGAAAGGTGTTACATGTTTACAAAAACTTAGCCTTGTAAAGGTCACCAGCCTTACAAGTAGTACAGCATTAGAACTCACATTCACACAAGGAATGAGACCATATGTCATTGTAACGTGGTAAATATCTTGTAAAATCAAGAAAAAAAAGTTTTTTATATTAAGAAACTAAGCAACGTGTAGGAAAACCTAAAAAACTAAACACCTTTTATAAGGCATAGCTTCATGCGTCACAGTAGGAAAAACTCAGGAGAAAATAATACAGGTAATGATTGATGAATTCCATTTAGCTGCTTCAGTTTCAGGGTTCATGCATGCATGTCATAGCTTACTGGGACACTAACACAATGGACTGTTAATGTTTTCAGACAGGTGTGTCTGGCCCTTTAAATAAGTACTTCTAAAAAGGCGTTCCGAGACGCAAGTTGGGTTTTATCTTTTGCCTTAATCTTAAAATATTTAATCTTACTGCAGGCACACTTGAGGATTCAGCGCACTTAATTAATTAAACATGGAATTCCCCATTGGCTAACGTGTGGATGCTTGGTTAAATTTTGCAGTCATGTGCGGCAGGCAGAGTATGGGGCCAGGAATTTAAGTCATATAAAATATTAACACACCTTAACAGTCCCACCTTTGTCCTTAGAAGTGCTTCAGGAACTTGACCATTGGCATATATCTGGCTACTTTAGAGTTGAAAGTCACGTGCATTTGGTAAATCAGAAATGACAGGGGAAGAAAGCATCAGGTCTTGCAGGGTTAAGCTGCGTAATGAAGTCGCGCTGCTTATTTGTGTCAGCTGAAAGGTGTGGATGACTAATGTTCTGCTGATGTGATTGTTACGATCACCTATGCAAATCTGATTAAGCCCTGCTTGATCACACCAAATCAATCAGGGCAGTATTCAAGTCAAAAGACATTTAGACGACTCCCATCCTGACAAACATTTTTATGATTTGTTCAATTATATTAATGAGGCCTTTGATCTATTTCAGCTGCTTTAGGGCAGACAAATTAAACTCATAATTGCTTAATAAAGAGATGTGTGCGGCGCTTAAGTGTAGTGATATTATTTTTAGAAGCAGTTTTAATCAAGTCTACCTCTGACAAAAATCGAGGATGAAATTCAAGCAGAATATTTTTTCAGTCAAATTCATCATCATATTTTTCTAGGTGCCACACACTGAATAGTGTGTTTGCTGCCCTGATAAAATATCTCATCTCGAGACGTTTGTAGCATCTTGAAGCATCTTATAAACCCATGAGTTTATTTGTGGTACTTTTGTGGAAACCAGCACTGGATTTGTCTTGGTTTTTTTTTTTCCTGATGACCTTTTCAAAGATACATTTCTCTCAGCTTTACACAAGTGTTTGGGAGATTTGTGTGTACTGTGGTGCTTTGCATCGTTTAGTCACAATCCTACACCAGTAAGCATGATTGTGGTGATTTGTAGGTCAATAGAGGTCATGAAAGTTAAAACCGGGTGGAACTTGGAAATTCAACCAATGGTGGAAAGTAACTTAAATAAATGTTATTAAATAAATGTAATTAACTAAAATAGATTGCATTAACTTTACTTACTTTGGCAACTCAACTTAACTTGAATAAATTAAATGAAATTGATTAAATAAAATTACCTCAAATAAATAAAATAAAATACATTTAAATTCATGTAACTAAATTACATCAAATTAATTACACGACATCACTTCAATTAAATTGCATCCCAAACACTTGCAGACGGGTTCAAAGTAAGTAAGTACATTTACTCAAGTTCTGTACTACAATTGTGAGGTACTTTCCACTTTTATTTTCATTTTATGATACTTTATACTTGTACTCCACTAAAAATTCAGAGGCAAATACTGAACTTTTTACTCGACTACGTTTATTATATTAGACTATTAGAATGATTTTACAAAACTGATCTGTGGTGGGAACAGCTACAAATTGAAATACACTTATCTATTAACCTTGGTGTGCAATGGCATGTGACTCATGTGACACTTTTAATGTAGCCCATGTTAACATTAATTTAAAATAGAATGTATCATTTCGTACTTGACACACATTATAATCACCTTAAAAAGTTGATATGGCTAACATGTTAGCATACAACAAATTAAAACCTTTGTATGCTTCCAGCAGATATGGAGAAACATTAATGTGGAGTTGAGTTATTGGTCACCTGATGAGTCTAAGTCCAGTATTCACTATTCTTTTAGCTCCGTTTTTGTATCCAACAAAGATTGGGCTCTTTAGCTGTTGAATAAAACAAAAACAGCCATAGTCACTAATTTTATCTATCAATAGTTGCTGGACAGGTAGTGTGGGGTGGGAACCTTTTGACTTAACCTCATTAGTGTTACAGCTGCCTGCTGTAACACTAATGAGGGAAAATTCTGTGTGGATTCATCATTACAAACACCTTTCATATTAGTCATGTTTTATATTGTTGATATACTGGTGCAGCTTTAAGCTGGTCTTTAATCCTGGTTTGTGCTGCACAGAATACAACACATGAAACGGTATGTTGCCCTGTTTAAACCTCTTCAATCTAGCCTTAAAGATGTGCTCTGATGGCTCTCATTGTTCAAACCAAAAGTCCCTCTTGGGTAAATCCTCCACTCTGTAAACCTCTATTTTGGCCCAGCTCTTGCAGACGCAGGAACATCACGGTCCCGACTGAAATGGCTTCATTATACTGTACGACAAACTGGCTGCAAGTTTCCCTGGCGGAGTTTTGGAGCAGAAACATTCATTTGCGCCGAGCACGTTTGGTGCCAAGGCTGACTTTGTCTTACCCCGTCTGGCTACGCATGGCGGCTATCAACATAGACTAGCTCAGGCTGTTCAGGAACCAAGCTCTCTGCTGCAGTGTGCTGTAATGGTTGTGAATGTGCACATCATTGGTGTCCCAGCACTCACATCTCCTGCTTTTCTCTTTCTTAATTCAGGTGAGCGTTATTATTTCTTATTTTTCTTCATTCCTTAGTTATGATTTTGTTTCTCAAATGGTGCTTTCAATCTTTCTTTAGTGCTGCCCTTTATACCTCATTCCGTTTTCTTTTTTTGCACATGAAAAAGGTAGACGGCAAGCCCCAGTAGGTCACAGTGCATTAACCACGCTAATAAACCCATTACATTGCAATGGAATGGGATCCAAACGAGAGGGGGAGAGGGTGTTGAGTGATGAGATAAAGAAAGGAAAGAGGCTGATTTTTGGCAGAGAGGAGTAGTAGACTGAGGAGGGACAGATGAAGCGCAGTGGCAGGTTGGATAAAAGCCTCACTGATGCACATTCACTTTACATAGGTGCGCCTTTAAGCCCCTCTGTCTATTTATTACTTTTTTCCACCAGCATTCATTAAGGGCAGGATCTGCCATCTTCTTCCAGAGTGTTGCATCACTTTCTGCTCCTACTACGGCTCCTCTTTCTGAGCATTAGTGTCATTGTGGGGGCAATTACAACACTGCGGTGCAGCTCGGGGCCATATATATCCACAACGTGTCCCCAACCTGCAGTATCCCTGTGAGGGAAGAGAGGAAGCAGAGAGGAGCGAAGCAGGATAAGGAAAAGAATATGGGACAAAGGAGCAGCTGAATGCAGCTTTTTAATGTGCTGCTCTGGAACCAGATCGCAGTGAACGTGTTTGTTGCAGAGTGAATAGTTGGCGGACAGTGGCCCTGCAATGTCACAGCTGTTCATAATTCAGTAACAGTTCTGTAACACTAGTTAACGAGCGAGTAAAGAATTCATACTGAGTCATGCACCAATGTAAATGAGGGGGTTACTATAGACCATTTAGAATAGTTCATAAATTAACTGATCAATAAACACTACAATTAGGACTCAGCGTGTGTGTGTATAATATATGTGACGCCCACGTGTGATTGTTGAACATCTCATTCCAAAACTATGGTCATTAATCTGCCGCTGGAACAGTCTCCACTCTTCTTTCAAGGGTTTCTATAAGAATTTGATAAAACTGGTTGCAGGGATTTGCTCCCATTCGGCCACAGATGCATTAGTGAAGTCAGGCACTGATGCTGGGGGATGTTGCTGGAATTCCAGTTCATCCTGAAGGTGTTGGACGGGGTTGAGGTCAGGGCTAAGGCAGTCAAGGTCAACACCAGAAAAGCCCAACTTAATGGAAGCGGCCCCGTGCATGCGGAGTATTGTCCTTTTAAAAGAAGAACTATATTGTTCTGATATCTTTTTTTGATTGGAAACCAGCTCCAGACTGTGTTGACAGTGGTGTCATTATATACATTTCGCCTTAGATCACTATAATATCTAAACAATGGCCAAAAGTATGTGGTCACTCCTAACTCTACCCTGTATAGCAATGTATGACCATAAATAAGTGTTACATTACTTACACCCATAAGCGATTTCTGAACACATCATTCCAAAACCATGTAAAGGAAAATACCCAAAAAAGTTTCAGGTCATAGGTTAGCATCGTTATGCTTTCATTGATTAGCGATTAGATTTAGTGCTTTTTTGTTAAGTGTGTTTGTGCACCTTTGTTGTGGATTTCAGAAATTATTATATTATATATAATTACACAAATTTCACTCTACAATTCACCTTTTTGGTGTCATTTTCAATTTAAAGACTTTGAATGGCAACTAATTGAATATATTTTTGCACTTTTAGGTAATTTGTTTATAATGTGTTTGAATACCTGGGTTGGAAATCTGTGGTTTGGGTAACATTTTGTATTATGTAAGCTTACATGCTTTAAGGAAGTCCATTTTAAGGAAACAAGATGATATTTTCAAGCTCTTACTGTGAATCTGAGCAGTAAATTAAGATAAACCTGGACCTCTGGTGTGTCTCTGAACATGCTCCACCACAGTACACCACACTTGACATAAAAAAACAAGTCTGATTGCGGTCTTCACCACCGCTGACACTCTGCAGGTTCCCCTGTCAGGGAGTGGCTCATATGGTTGTTTCCTCTGATGCTCTGCTGGCACCACGTGGCCATCGCAGTAACTGCACCTACACGGCCGAGGCCAATAAGGTGGGCTGGTATGAGAGGTTGGGATTTGCTGCTGTGTACAGTGGTGCCCAAACAACACATTCATCACCAGCAGACGCCCCTCGCTCCTCTCCTAGTGTGCCGAATTGATGAACCATCAACACAAGTTTCGTCACGTTCACTTTATATTGATAAAGCAATCATGCATGCTTTTCTTCTGTGCATCACGGTTTCTTCACTCTCAAGACAAATGGGGTGTCAGAATGATGCTTCCCCCCACACTTCTGCGCTCTGCTGTTAGGAGCACGCGGGCTCCAAACGGCTGTTTTCTGTAGGAAAACTAATTCCCAGATATCATGGGCGAGTTTTGTTTTACAAATGTGTAAAAAGTGATAAAAAAATATAGACGGCAAGGATGGTACTAAGGCAATTAGTTGATTAGTAGATAAACAGGAGATGAATCTGTAGCGATTTTTTCTAATGATGAAACATCAACAACAATTTATCAAATCATCATTGTACATTTATAATCTTTGGTTTGGGGCAACTTGTTGCAACTATTGGCTGGCATTATTTTGGACTCTGGGAATGCGATGAGATTTTTTTTCAATATGACATTTTAAAAACATAATTTGATGGATTGTTAATGAAAATTATAGTTAATTGCAGCCTAGATGTGTCCTGTTTTTTATTTAATTTCCAGTTATGTAATTGCAAGAAAAGAAAAAAAAATTATTCTAAATTGTAGCGGCAGATGCCAACCTTTATATTTGGCTCCATTCAATACCTAAAACACCAATATTTCCCATAATGCAACGTGATACCATATTTTGTTAGTCCCGCCATGGTTGGATATGCCCTCTACACACCTCCAGTTTGTAACTCAGGCTTTCTGTTTTAAATTTGCCATCTGAAAGCCCAAGCTAGAGGTCACCCTGATGACATCATCAGGTATTATGCCACAAAAGACATACAACTCTTTTTATAGATTTTATATCAAATCATAATCTCAAGACAAATAAACTGTAAAATTAGAGGGTGTTTCTTTAACATGAAAAGAACGACATCAGTGTTATCCTTTTAAATGTTTTATTTGTCCACTTGCTCAGTGACAGGTACACAGAGCAGTTAGAAATGAAATATATAACTTAATAACATCTGAAATGGGCTTTTTTTCCCAATACATGTATAGAAAAAGTAAACATGACCATGAAACAGTGCAGCAAACATGACTCTGAAACGTCTACGATTGCCTCCATTTTTTTTTATTAATTCTTCTACAGTATACAAATATTCACACACAAAATGTTCTCAAAAAACCTAATGTCTCGTAAACATTCATCTTCTCCTCGTCCTGCAGTTCCGTCGTCTTTTTCCTTCATTGTGTGCTGTGTTGCCACAAAGTTCCAATATATTATTATTTTTTCTTTAAAAACAGAGCCCTCTGGATCCTCACGTCATTCTGTCACCCAGACACACCTCGTACACGGCACCACGCCCCCCTTTCACCCAACCTGACATTTCACCGCCTCTGTCACAGTCGTCACATGACGGGTCGTGTTTAAATTGCAGCAGTGACAGCCAGGTCCAGGGATGAAGGGAAGAAGGCAGAAATCACAGTGTGAAGCAGAAGCTCTTGACATCAGTGCGCTCGGTGCGGGCCCTGAGGTGGGGAATGGGAAAGGTGCCATATTGCATGGGTCTGCTTCGAGCTTAGTGGATGTAATGGGGGGGGGGGGGTATTGATCAGATCTGGACCAAGTAATTTTTTAATACAGATAATCCTTAAGTGCTGGTCTTAGAGCAACACAGATGGTACAGGTCACATCAAAACAATACAGCAAAGACAGTGTAGTCAGCTGCAGTCTTGTGTAAGATTAAATGTGGCACAAATACTCCACTCCAACCACAAAAATAATTTTTTGCACAGACAATTTGGCCAAAATCTGTTAGTAACACCCAAATTCTACTGAGGTGACAGGATATTTAAGACAAAAAAGTGGAAATGGTACGTTGGTATGGCTACAGGACACAGTAAATCAAGTAATATGGGACAGATTACAGGGAAAATGACTCGTACGGGTTGATTCTGCATAATCAATAAACTTTCAGTTCATAAGAACACCCACTGATATAAATCTATTTAAAACATCTATAGGAACATAATAATGTGAAAACAAAGTGTGTGTATATAGTATGTATATATATATATATTGAGACATCCATAAGTAGTGGCGTTGAAGATGCATCAGATAATATTGGCTCTGGCATTATGTTACTGCATCTCCACTGCCGCTGCCCATGTATTAATCTCATCTCTATATCTTTATTCAATATGTACTCCGCAAGCAGCGGCGCCTTCCCAAAATACCAGGAAAGCAGTAGTGCAACAAACTTTTAGCAGGATTCTTTTGTTTCTCAAAGGAAATTAATCAAGTACACGAGTTTAGGACTCAAACACTTTTGCAAGATGCAATCCATAATTTGAACGGAGAGAAGTAGTTAGAACGCTTTAGAAAGACAACGTCAAAATTATGTTTTTAAGAAATCTTAGAGCCTTTTTTCTGGGTGGTATTCAGGTGTTGCTGTTACTGCTGTTTCAGCAGCAACAGCACTAGTCAGTCTGGAGTACACATCGACAGTGAAACACTGGACCTTGTGTACTTAAGAACACATTTATGGACTGCACCTTTAGACAGCTACACAAAGTGGCTTTTCGGTTTGAAACTCAAACCAAAATGAATAGAAGACAGTAAACAGGTCACGCGTTTTGGCTGCCTGGATGACAACGATCATGAGCTTTGACCTTTCCTTGACCATCTCAGGTTTCCCTGTGAGGCTATAAGTGGACTAAATAAAATGACATTATTGAAAAATAAGGCTACCAGTCTGAGGCGTTTAAAGGCACCCAGACTGAGCTACATTCCATCTTTGACGACAAAAAGATGAAAAATAAGAGAGAAAATGAAATGTTTTAGCTTTCAGTGATGTCCATTTTTTAATATTAGGGCTAAAACAATCTTTACATTTTATTTTCTCTGTCTCGCTCACACTATTTCTCATTCTGCAAGTTTTATTTCTTCTTCTTAAATAAGCTTTTAATTTTAGAGGAGGAGCGCTTGATTTTCTCTCCATTGTCGCTGGAGTCCTGGGAGGAGGTGCTCTGGAGCTTGTGTTCCCTTCCCATGCTCCGTCCCTCCGAGTCCAGGGAGGTAAGAGACGGGTAGCGCCCCACGTTGGGCTGCATGCTGGCGGGCAGCTGGCCGAAGCTGTAGGACTTCTCCAGGATGCCGTTATACATGCCCTTGCCAGTCGGAGAGGTTACGTTCCCCTGTGAGAAGGTTGCGCTTTGGGACTCTGGTATGATGCGGGTTAGGTCGGGCGAGCCTCTGTGTGCAAAGGGGTGGTGCTCCAAGGCCGGGGAAGGCGAGGTGGAGGGTGGACCAGAGGGGGTGGTGGCCGGGGTTGGAGGCAGAGGGGGAGGCGTGGAGTCCCTGAGACTGCTGCTGCTGCTGCTGCTGGTGTGGGTGGACGCGGGAAGCTCCGGACTCTGGCCAAACAGCAGCAGCTCCTCGCGGGAGATCTTGCGGTATGGGGTGTCTGAGCCCGGCACGCAGGTGTTGTGCAGCTGCTTGCGGCCCATGGAGGAGTTGAGGGAGTCTGTGTCGGAGCTGCCCTCCTGTGACGCTTCCCTGAGGAAGGAGAGCAGACGCACCACGGTCACAACTCATAAACACTGCCCAACAACAGAAAAAGACAAAAATGTTCTGTCATTTTTAGTTCTGAAAATGTCTCAGTATGTATTTTAGCCAATACATCTTTATTTTGATTTATGTTTTACGCCTCCAAGTCAAATTAAGACCTTTTTATATGTCTGTGACTGGACACTTAAAATATAGGACAGATAATAATCCCATCTGTCGTCGTACGTCAGCAGTAGAACAGACTCCAGCATGGAGGTCACCTGAAGCAACTGAATATAAACAGATGGAGGAGGTGCAATTATTGTGGCCCTTTCTTGGAGAGGGGCCCTGTGTCTTATTCTACTTTCAACATGTTTATTATTTGAATCTATATTTTTTATATATAAAAAAACAAACTTACAAAGCCAGTTAGTTTTATTCCTGGTTGGTCTCTGGGCAGTCCAGTCTGTTGTGTGTTCTGTACTCAATGGGTACTTGGAGGGCACATGCACAGAGGGCAGTAGGTAGTAGGCAGGGTGTCAATAGAGGCCCAAAAGCAAATAGGTAAATATGGCCATGTGTGCACATTATTCTGTGACATTTTTCAATCTATATATATATATTGCAAAAATGTCACTTCCCCAAATCTACCAACTGTTGGTGTGCATCATGTATTATTAATGGCTATAGAGAGCCAAGTCACTCACTTCTGCTTCCGGCCCATGGGACCTTATTTTTGAAAAAACTCTCTTAAACTCTCTCAACTTATTTTTTTTATCCTGTTTGCCCTGAATTACACATACGATGTTGATGTCAATTTAAAAGGTTTTGTCTGTCAAGAAAGTTGCAGTTTGTTGTAAATCAGTAAAGTTACATGTCGTACACAAGTACACAGAAGTGCTAACAAACAGTATAAACTACAGCTTTCACTAACTGTTGATACCCAGAGCAGCCATCTTGGATCACAAAGTGATGGTAGTGTGGTTCTCTCGACTTTTGAAGTTGGAAATCCGACTTACGGGGGCGTTCGCATTGAAATTTCCGACTTTGAACTCGGAGATTACAACTTCCTATGTCAAATGGAATGCAAAAAAATGTACGTTAGTCAACAGGGAAAGACAACTTATTTATTTATCCCGCTTGAATCGCGCCCTGGATTACACATATGATGTTTGTCAATTTAAAAGATAATTTTGTCTGCTAAGAAAGTCGCACTTAAAATAAAAATAAAAACATAAAACAGTAAAGAGACATTTAGTTTTCTGTAAAAAAACAAAACATTGAATGAATTACATCTTTTGTCTCACACGATATGCATCAGCAACATGTTAACCCGGTAATGCTAGCTACTGTTAATTGCTTGGTTGCTGCTAATTAGAAAACTCCGCTATGTTCCACACAGAAATATATCTCACCTGATGTGTTTAATCCAACGGCTCTTGGTCCTTTCATCAAATCATCTACACATGTAACTTCTTTCAGTCTTATACTTCAGCAGTTTTAAAACAAACTGCAAATTTCTTGACTTTTAAATGTACATTTTAAATTGAACATCATCATGTGTGTAATTCAGAGCACAATTCAAACGGGATCAAAAATGTTGTTCTCTTGCCATTGTCTACCGTACAGATTTTTTCCAAAGTAAGGTCCCATGGTAGTCCGGCGGAAGGGGAGGGACTCAGGCTCTCTATAACGTATGTATTTTTAAAAAGAAATCACTTAAGAGTTGGTAGAGCGTGCGCCTCTCTCTATCCACTGTCCTAGGTAGGTACAGGTAAGTTGGGCATCCGTTCACAAAGGCTTCTTATTTAATCAGAATGCAAAACTAGAAAAGTAAAACTTATCCAGTCAGGCGCTTGAGTCATGAAAATTACAAATTCTTGCTGGTGGATTTTTTTGTTATAGTTGTCATTCATTCATTTCACTTTTTCCTTCAGTCTATACTGACACATTAGTAATGCAAATTGGGGACAAAGTTTAGGAATTGAAATGGAGATAAGATCTTTCTTATTAATTATGGTAGACATTAACTAATTATGGTGTTAACAGGTAATTCATGCGTCCTCCACAGACTAGATGGCACCCAGTAACAAATGGCACTGTTTAACCGCCAAGCTTAAAGCATCAGTGTGAGGGTCTGGATAAAACACCTGTGAGTCCAAACTGTAAAACCATTCCGCGGTGTTCCGGCCACCGCTACATACCCCCTCCTATCCGAGCTGAACATGATATGTTCGTCGTCTGCCTCGGGGCGATAGGAGAGGGAAGAGCTGGCCATGGACAGTAGGTCGGGGTCCGCGGACATCAGCGAGGACTGCGGAGAGCTTAGCAGGCTCCGGCGGGAACGACACAGGCTGCTGCTGCGGGTCAGCGAGGGCCGGATCATCGTGGCCGCTGGAGGGAAAGGCGAGGACATTATTTATTATAGCACAATTCATTTCACTGTGTCAGTAAAGGGCGGTAAAAATCCTCGGCCATCTTACGCACTTGGGAACTGCGGAATGATGGGAGGCGTGTCCTCGTCCAGGTCATCCACTCCCCCTGCGATGGGGTAGGGAGGCACCGAGACTCGCGGCATGACCACCCAGCTGTGGTCTGAGTAGAGGCTGGCTGTCAGGCTCGGCAGCCCCGAGTTATTGACAACAGGGAAGTTGCAAAGCTTCTCGATCTGCTGCCAGCGATGCAGACGCTCCCTCAGGCATGCCGTTACCTCTGACAGGGCTTTCCTGTAGAAAAGGGGGATCCGGTCACTGATACTGATTGAAATTCTTGAGACAGACCCAGAGAGGAGCTGTCTTTGCTTTGATTTAACAGGATTTAGACAGTTTTGGCACACAAGCTGGCTCTTTTATGATAATGGATGTGCCTATAAAGTGGTCATGCAGAAGATTTCACTTTGTTCCCCTCTGTTATGTGACTCTCTTTTCTTTTTGGCTTTTAAACACAAAGGAATTCTTTATATCAGCGACAACACCTGGATTCTAAAAGAGTTCTGAATATATTAAATATATGTGGAATAAAACTTTTGCTGTCTACCTAATAAAATGTAAGTGTAATTAAGTGTTCAAATTTGTGCATGAGCTCGACATAGTACAGTCAGGTATGGTCACTGCTTGGTTAACTTCAATTTAGACAGTACCTCTGATGGCCCTGAGCAAACAAAGATAAAGTCTTTATTAGTGTAAAATGGCACCAAAGGCCTAGTTTAATCTATCAGCAGATTCTGAATAGTGTGTATGTATATATAATATAAATAAATGTATTATATATTATGTGCCCAGCTGAGATCTGGTATTTTACCATGTACTGTTGAAACTGGACGATATGTCTGACTGGAAGAGGAAAAGCAGATTTGTTCAACGTGCTGTTAGGTGCAATACTTTTAAAGATGTAACTTGAAAGATTTTAAAGTTCCTCTTTTCTTTGTTTTTGTTTTGTGTACTGTATTACTGAGAGATGCATGCATTGTAAAGTATCGATGTCTTGTAATCCACACAGAAATAAAAGTAAAGTAAACTAAGCTAAACTATACGGCTGACTGAAGGTTTCAGTATCGCCATATTGATAACATACCATATGACCTGCTATTCAATATGACACATTGACACGAAAGGGCCTTTCTTGCAATATTTCGTATCAATAAGCATTGTGATACATTATAGCAAGTCAATAGGTATGGCTAAAAAGATGTGGCTGACAAAATATGCAGACAAAGACAGTGAACTCTCCTGAAGTCACATGTTTGGCTCCACACATTGTTAGAATTGACCTCCAGCTGCCGTTGTATCACGTGCAGTGTGTGTATGTGAGGGGTTTGTATCTTACTTTGCTTCTAGTATCTTGTGGTCCACCTCATCCAGCGATGAACTGTGGGCTACATGAAGAGTTCCAAACACAGAACTTCTTTTCTTTTTTATTTTCTCTGCCTGAGATTTAAAACAAACAAACAAACATTCTATGAAAAGACTGGACCGATATCAGGATGGCCCCAAAAGGTCTCCCGCTGTAACACAGACTTATGACTCTTCAACAGGCTTTCTAAAATGGAAAGTAAATGGAAATGTGGATGAACTCATTAATCAAACAAGCAAGCTATGTTTTTAGTCCACCCCCACTTGAAGGTTTGATGTGAATTTGCAGCCAAAGTTAATCGAGTTTGGCAGCTTCTGCCAGACTTCTGCCAGATGCAAGGAGCAAAAACAAAAATGGCCAATTACAACACCATTTAACCACATCGTTATGAAAAAGTCATTTGAAAAATGGAACCATTAACTATATCATTTCTGCTGTGGTTTTTTCAACTGATCAGTGACAGCATAAAAATACAGTTAAATGTATCATATTTATATTTAAACTTTTGATATATGAAGATGAAGAGACATTTCTCTGTTTCAGGTGTGAAGCAGAAGATTATTATCACCTGCCATCACTGGATCCCTCACGCTCTTCAGATAACCAGTGAAAATATTAAAGTGATATTTTACACTATTCCAGCACTATTGAGTAACACTGCCTTTAAACAATGTCGGGCTGTCTACGAAAAAGCAGACTGACACACTGAGCTCTCACTGCAGCCCAATATAAAGAGTAGTGCTAAGTTCCTTTTTAATGTTAAAAACTGTATTGTTTTGTTTTTCACAGTTCCACGCAATTTCAATCAAAATCGAAATAGTAGCTGAAATCAAATGCTTTCATTCAACAAATGTATTTTTCAAATTGGTGGTTCATTGGCTTATGAACGAGATAAATTCAAATTCATGCCATTGTAAAATCTGTGCCAGACACAATCTCTTTTCACTTGGTAATTCCCACAACATATGAGCATGCCGAACATTAAATAAACCCACTGAACACACTATGTGACGTGTAAGCCGTTGCTGACTAACGCCACATGCTCACTTTTCTTGCTGTTCATTCACCGTATGTAAAGGGCATTAATTAGTATAATTAATAAATAAACCTCACCTCATCTTTGGCGACGCACAGCTGAAACTCTGCATTCTGTTTCTTGATGTTGTAGTACTGAACCTCGACCTCGTGCGTGAGCTGGAGCCACTTCTGAAGCGCTTCGGGCACCGACCGCTCCGACTGCATCTCCTTCTCTGCTCGCTTTAGAGCTTTTCGCACCTACGAGGGGTGGGGGAGGACAGGACATGACACGTTCAGGGTCCAGGTTAAATTCACTCTGAAATATTTAAAAACCTCTCCCCGCGAGATCTTTGATCAAATACTGTGAGCGGGAGTGAATGCTCGTTGAATTTTAAAAATGAGTCTGATCCCGGCTCGTCTGTGCGTAGAGGACCTCTTGATGTATTGGTGCTGTATTTTTTATGTGTAGGGCCAAAGGAGGTATTTTGTGAAAAAATTAAAAGTTAACATGAAAAATATGAAATTAATCTTTTCACATCAAGGTGTTTTACATAAACATTTATATACAGGGACGATCCGTATACTGGCTATGTAAATACATTTGAACATCTTAATAGTGACAAATCTGTTTGCAAGTGGCAGTCTGGAAAGCCCTACCTGTACAAGCTCTTCCTCTGCATATTTGAGGCGGCTGAGTTCGCATTCGGCACCCTCTCGCAGCTCTCGAAGCCTGTGAGCCTCTGTTTTGGCGCCGGTGATCTCATCCCTCATCTTCTGCTCCAGGTTCTGCTTCTCCACGGCCACCGTCCGGTTCTCCTCCTGAGCCTTTTCCAGCCTGCAACATGAGGGGGTGGACAAAAAAAATGCAGAATATTAAGTCTGGCGTGGTGTAGGTTTAAGCCAATAGTTTTGCATGCACTATTTCTACACAGCCTGAAGAAGTTTGACCAAAGAAAGTTAAAAGTGAACTCCATTTCATCCCCATCTCATTATATATGTTTACATTCCCATTTTAATATAAATCTGATCCGTTTCCTTCTCTTACCGGCTCTGCAGGTCTAAGAGGCTTTGCTCAGCATGTTGCAGGCTCTCCAGATCCTTCATCATCTGAGAGATGTGCACCTTGCTGGACTTGTTCTGCACATAGGCAAACCAGCAGCCCCCGACACCAATCACTATGGAAACCATGAGGACAAAGTCTTTCATCCAGTTATGTTGTGGACCTGCGGAGACGAGGAGGAACAGGAGAAGAGGGAAGGCTTTAGCAAATACTTCACTTTATTTCTTTCTGCCTGCAAACATTAATAGTGTGGGCAAAACTAATGTCCAAGTTAAATGCATTGCATACTTACGGAGAGGAGGGCCAAAAAGCACTGCATCTAGTGCCTTTAGGTTTAGTTTTTGTTTATGCCGCTGGTCTAATATCTTCAGCTGCATCGACATAAACGACGGTTCATTTGCCGCTATTCTGAAATACGGAGAAAAAGAACATCAGCTTGCTAAACAGTTAGAGTTCAACTATTTCAGTTTCCAGTGTGCATTATATTTGTCTTTAAGTGGAGAGTCAAGTATATGTCTGTGTTTTTGAGTCTTTGAGCATTTAAAATTTGTATACAGCCACGAGAGAAAACTTAAGTGTAGGGTAACTATTAAAGGTTAGAAACAGGGCTTGTTGTTGGGGATGGTGTTAAGGGTTACAGAGTGAATAAAACATTTTATTTATCTTGCAGACAGTACATATGACGTACAATCAATATGACTGAAAATGCCCGTCAGGAGTACAAAAAAGTTAGATTACAGATGTGCACGAGTATCAACTGATTTGTGCAAGGTACAACTAAAAAAGACGTGATGCCAGGTTGTTTTGAAGCATGTTGCAGAAAAAAAAGTGTATGATTCACTGAAAAGAAGACACATCTAGAAATGCAAGAGCGTATTTATCCAGGAAAATGTCAGCGAATATTAGTTAGGTTATGAGTCTAATGTTGTCAGATCATTAAAAAGATCATTCATTCAAAAAAAAATTAGATCACATAAAAATACATATAGTATCTCACACTGGTATTTAAAAAATAACACTTTTGAGTTGGGGTGCTGAATGAACAGTCATGTAATGTAACTTCATCAAGCATCTTTTAATTGCTGTGGCGTTCTTTACAGTCACTGAAGTGTTCTCATTGTCTGAACTGTTAAGACGCTGTAACACCACCACCATGTTAAACAGTTCACACAACATGGCCCCCTTGCTGTGACATCACTTCATGAGTCAGCGCCATTCAGCCCCGTGGCGTAACATGAAACGCCTCAATAACCCCGCCCCCCGACACACACACACACACACACACACACACACACACACACACACACACACACACACACACACACTGACCCCTCTGTCTACACATGCCGTACATGTAGTCTGCAGCGAGTCACATTCCACAAGTGTCCCACCAGCCTCATCTAGAATGTCGGCACTCAGATGACTTTGTTAACAATTTTATCTTTACTGTGCTGTAGGAAGGAATTATGCAGCATTCAGATTGTAACAATGGCTGCGTTTAAGATCATGTGACGAAAAATGTCTACAAGCCCTGAGAAACATTTCTCAATACAACAGCAGCAGAAGACCAACGGCAGTGAGGCTGAATCTACCTGTTCCAGAGCATCTTTTCTTGTTGTGCTGCCTTTATGTGACCAGCAGTGGGCAGCGTTAAACAGAGCAATGAAGATTAAAGGTGCCCTTGGGTATTGTAAGAAAGACCATAACACTGTTACTGTTCATAAAAACACTTCACTGCTCACCAATGGCAAAGCAAAACATCTTAATTAAGGGCAAAGAAGTGGCACTGCGAGCACACACGCAGTGTTAATATAAAGCACTGCTCCTGTGAGGGAAGACGTCACTTGAGGTGAGACAAACTAACCGTGGTAAGGTGTTCCCTGTGACCGGGAAGTCCCGGAAGTTCTTCTCATACTGCGGCAGCTCCACAGACTCCTTCAGCCACTGCACGGTGTCCTCCGTGGTCCAGTTGTGGACTGGATGAGGAGACAGGAAAGGAAAAAGTGGAAGGGGAAAGATGAAGGTCATTACTTTCCTGTTAAACATTTAGCTGATGCTTTAATCAAGAGCAACACACAGAGTTACACAAGGTTAAGAACAAACAGTGATGGAAGAAGAATTAACAGACTTTACTTCAGTAGAAGTACAAATACACCAAGTGAAAGTCCTTCATTTAGAATGAAGTAAAAGTACAGAAATTATCAGCTAAATGTACTAAATGTATCATAGCAAAAGTACTTGTGAAACAGAAAAATGGCCCCATGATTGATATATTATTAAATATTTTATCATTAGGTTGTTAATACTGATTCATCATTGCTTAAGCAGCATTTTACTGTCTGGTCGAGGTGGAGCTAGTTTTAACTACCTACTATATATACCATTTTGGTATTCTAGTCCAGTTAAGCCTGACCCCCTTCAAAGGGTAACAAGATAGAGACAAAGAAAAAAACTAGTTCTGCTCCCCAAATTTGTATTTTATTTTTTGGACTTTTCTCTAAGCTTAGGTTTTAGGAAATATCATCAAGTCGTCCCTCTTTGAGCCTTGAAACAATTGTTTAAATTTAAATCTGAGACATTTAAAGGGGAATCACTCTTTGCTGGAATCTCTAACATGGGTTTAACCCTCTTTATCTGAAAAGAGACTAAGGAATAGAAGTAAATACTAACAGAAAATTTAAACACTCAGGTAAAGTAGCTTAAAATTGTACATAAGTATAAATGTTGTACAGTCAGCAAATGAGTGTGAGCCATGAAAGAAGATAGTAAACTGATTAAAATATGCAAAATATTTATTATTAACTATGAGAAAAAAATGTTTATATAACACCAATGCGTTTATTTGTGGTGGCGTGCGGGCAATGGCCCTGCAGGTAGCAAAAAAGCCTCGCCACCATAACACGTTTGTTGATGTTTGGTTTCTGCAGAGTGTGTATTTATTTCAAATGCTGAGGAAACATGAGCGCACATGTTCCAAAACCAGCTAGCTCCACACGCATACTCAGAGTCATAAACAAACACTTGCAAATACAGGCTGAGGATGACAGACTGGGGGGGCGTGCGTGTTTGAAGATGAACCACAGACGTGTTATAAAAAGAAGAGGACTTTGGGTCACATTTTGTCCCCATCGGAAATTCAAGACGGGATTTTTCAAGATGTATCATTTACAGGGGAAGTGTGTGTGACCAAAATTAAAACTGAAAGCACTTGAGCTGACTAATAATTAAAATAACAGCAGTAAATGAATAAAACTCCTCCTAATCTGTGATGGGTTTCTTGAATAAATAAGTTCCTCAAACATAAATGCGAGTCTTTTTACTTGTACTTTTATATCTCTAGATGTTCCATTACACATTGTGCAGAGAAAACATAGATCACATTCAGTGTAAATATGCCCTTGAGCGTGCATCATCAAGTCCACTTTGAGTTTTCAGAAAACTGGACAAACATTCTCCCAAAGAGATAGCCGACAAAAGCTTGTTGTTTGTCATTTTTTCCCCGACGTTACTACAGATGTAGTAGCAGCAGACAGCTGACTTCTCTTGCTTTACCTTCAGAGGTCTTCCAGGCCTTCCACAGCTCCTCCACAGTGATGTGCTGGTCTTCACGATGCAGGTTGCTGTGTTTGTTGGTTTGCTGCTGCTTCATGTCTTCTATTATAAACTAGAAAGTAAAGAGAGACAGAATTGAGTTTTACAGGCTTTTCAGAAGAGGAAGTGAATGGCTTTACATATAGTTTGTTTGTTTTTTTTTTAAAACAAGCATTTTTCCCTGTGAACTCGGGGGAGAGATACAGACGGCTGTGCTTGTCTGTGTATGTCCATGTGTGGTTTTAACAGAGAGAGCTGTAGAGAGTTGGCTTTGCCTAAACGTCTGGCTTTGGATCTTTTTGCTCTCCTTTCTTCCTTTTAGGGACTTTGAAAAGAGAAAGAGACCCACCACTTCCACCTGTGTGTGTGTGTGTGTCTGTGTCTGTGTGTGTCTGTCTGTGTGTGTCTGTGTGTGTGTGTCTGTGTGTGTGTGTGTGTGTGTGTGTGTGTGTGTGTGTGTGTGTGTCTGTGTGTCTGTGTGTCTGTGTGTCTGTGTGTGTGTGTGTGTGTGTGTGTTTTTTAGTTTCCGGCTGTCCTCCTTTTGGTCGCTCAGAACTAAATGCCCCTGCAGAGAAAGCCTTAGCAACCAAACCCGCTAAAGAATTGCCAGAACACGAGCAGCATTAACAGCAAAGAGGAAAAGGACCACATCAAAACATTCATCTTGTAGCACTGTGTGTATGTGTGTGTGGACTGTAAACTAAAACCTCCTGTCTAGTTCAAACACCCCACCTGCTGTTGATAATTAGCCTGTGATATAACTGTAGTACAGTATTATACGTTACACGGTACAGTTAGCATGCACTGTAACTTTGATGATTGCCTCGGCTATGTTAGCTGTATTAGAGGAAAAAAAGCAAATGGTTGCTGCGCTAAAAGTTGCATCCTGTTGGTGTTTTCCCATGCAAAATGATAATTAGTTGAATTTAAACTTGAGGTGTAGATTACATTTCGGTTAGTAGTGCTCTCACAGTACTACTGTATGTCAGAAAGACCTTATAATACCGGACTTTCTGTGGTTTAAAAAATCCAATTTACTTATAGATGTGGTTTGCTACGACCTTTCCAACTACCTCTCAAAGTTAGCTAGCTAAACTGCCGCCAGGCAAACACTATTTACACTGTAACTGGACAGATGAGTTTTATGCTAATGTCATTATAGTGAGCTACTACAATAACTTTTTTGCTTAAACTTTTTATCGTCCACCCCGTTTGGGAGTGATTGGCCTAGATTTAAACAAGCGGACTAATTTTAATAATTAGATGGACTTAAAGTTTTCAAGCATTTATAGTTGACGTCACGCCGTGCTGAATTATGTGTAACATTTTGTTGATGCCACCATGTTGTGAGGATCCTGCGGTTTTCTTTTTATGCACACACTGCAAGACTAACCTGTAAAATCATATCACCATTAATTTCTACTTGACATAACCAAATACTAAATCTATCTGCCCACTGGTAGAAAAGCATGTGTTTTTTAAATGAGGTCCAAGATTAAAGAAAATATTTGTAATTAATAATGTGACTGATCTAACCCACTGCCTATGACTGAATAAAATAACGTAGCTGAATGTTTTTGAAAGTGTCCATTTAGAGGAGCCATCTTACCTTTGCGAGTATGGCTCTTGCAGTTTGCCGGCTTGTGAATGAGCAGGTCTTGCACCCAACCACTGCAAAGCTGTTCATGAGCATCTAGTGATTTATAACTTTTAAACTCACGCAAAGAGTACGCACTCAGTCCAAAAAGAAGGTAATTGACAATGTCCTGGTATCTGACTGTAATCCAGTCTTGGGCTGCCAAGTCTTATGGATCGATGTTTATACTTGTTACTAGTTTGTCCAAATACCGTTTCTTGGCAGTGACATTCAATTTCTCCTGATAGGATTCTTTTTCTTTTTCTCTTCCTTTCTCCATCAGATTTCACCGATTTAAAGAACTTTGTGGCCAAACTGGGGCTGGGCGATATGGCCAAAAATTTAATGTTCCGATAAAAACATTTCATATCATTCGATATCAATAGTTGTCATGATAAATGTCAAATAATTATTTCTTCCAAGTTTAAAGGCTGAATTTTGCTCCTGAGTGAATGTTGAAGAGACCATCTGGTTAATTGTGGATCAACTACCAAATCTGAGGTAGAATATTCAAAACTATTATGATAAATCAATTAAAATGATTAGTAAATCTTTTTTCAGTCCCTTTTCGTCAACAAAATAAATATCTTAATAGAAAAATTAAGAGCTAATTCATTCGTGATTCAAATTAATTAAACCAAACTTTTTTTGACGATATACTGAACATTCATTATACTGTTATTGAAGGAAGGATTGTTTATTGCCCAGCCCTAGGCCAAACTAAACAAAAGGTAATCAGGTAACCAGGATAGCAACCAGGAGGCTCACTGGTAAACAGAGCGGGTACCTCACAAGATGCCGACCCTGTCCCAACATGGAAAACACGGCGAGACGTACCTTCACATTCCCTGTTACATTGTTTGATTGCTTGACTGTTGTGACACCATATTTTGAAGGTTTTGGCATTAGCCTATACTAAGCTGTGCATTGTAGCCTACCTTAATTATTTTTATGACTGGATGTTTTTCAAAATTGTCCACAATGTCTGGAAAGATGAGAGTGTACTTAATTTCAATACATACATTACATGCTCATATTCATATTCAACTTTTCATTGTAGTGGCAGTTCTAGTCTTCACCACAGAGACCTAGTCCTAGCGTGCGCTAAGTACGGAGCTGTAGCCGGAGTTAGTTTAGCATAAAGAACAGAAACAATGGGAAATAGCAATGTACCTCCCCATATAAAACTTTTTGTAAGGATAAAACAAACTACATAACATGTGTCAGTTAGTGAGGTGTATTTTTGAATGTTAGAGTAAGCTAGGCTAAATGTTTTCCTCTAGCTTCCAGTTTTTACGTTAAGGATCTGTAGCAAGGAGGCATTAGCCTAGCTTAACGCGCACACTTGAGAATGGTTTTGATCTTCTCACCTGACAAGAAAACAAGTGTGTTTCAAAAACTATTCCTTAAATTCTCATCCTTTTATCTGGACACAAGACAAAATTCCTAAAAATGTCTGATGACCTACTTGAATAAAGTAAATAAACCTACCTGAAACTTGTTTGTTATTATACTCATAAATAAGCGATATGCTGAAGGTGCATGTAACTATTTAATATATTATGTATATAATGTAAGCTAGTAGAAAGGTCTGCAGCTAGATGTTAAGTGTTGTTAAGGGGCACATTAAGAGAAGCTTAGCTGGTAGAATCAGTAGTTAAGATGCATAAGTGCGTTAATTCACAGACTAATTAAAAGTTCCTGAGTTTTGAACCTAGGTGTGATCCGTGGGAAGCTGAATGTGCTGTCTGTTAAGTGCAAGCAAGAAAACTCATCAGAAACATAGACAGACTACAGTAGCTTGAATCATGTGAAACTGTAGCTGTAGCTGAGGGTGTTTTGACATTTCACACCCTTATCTATCACAACAGTTACAGATCTGACTTGAAGAAATGTCTGCTCTAAGACAGACGTCATCATCAACGCCTGACTGCACCAAATCCCTCTGGAACAGCATGTAAAGATACATCTTGAACAACTGTACTTTATCATGACATAGAGACATGTACACGTCATGTGGCTTTCATTCTCAAAATCCACCTGTCCTTTCACACATCTACGCTGTGTACACAGAGATTCTGAAGGAGTGCTGCGAGTTTGACATTGAATGCGTAATGACAGTCTGGTACAGAGAGGCTGCCTGCAACTACATACTCCAGTGATGAACACATTTTTCCTGTCAGAAGAAAAAAAAAAAACTCCCTCTGTGATCAAGAAATCATTTAAAAATGTCCTCTGTGAGATTCACTTCTGGCACATGCACACATTTGAATGTTCTAATCACACAATCAAGACATAGGAATGGATGATACTTAAGTTGTCAGAGCGAAGAAAAAAAACAAAAAAAGACCCCACACAATCTGGTGTCTCTCCCACTGACAAAAAAAGGTGAAAATGTATGTGCTAGCCAAAAGTCTGTACGATTCACGGCAGGAATATAGTGAAACATAAACGTCGACGACACCCTCGTTTTGAGATCTCTTCGTTTGCTTGGATGAATCTGAGCCCCTGCCTGTGGCAAAGGGGATGTGCCCACTGGTGATGTAATCAGCACTCCAATTTTTCACTTTCACTCACACACACACTCTCACACACACTCTCACACACACTCTCACACACACTCTCACACACACACACACACACACACACACACACACACACACACACACCTGGTGTGTGATGCAGGATATTGAACACTCAACAACAAAACAAAGGTGGCATATTCTCTGTCTAAAGGGGCTCTTGTATTGGGCTTTAATGGCGAATCTGAAAACCTTTTAATTCCCCTTATCCAATTGTTTGTTTTGGGTGGGAGACAATTTGCTTTGTGAATAAAAAGTGTAGTGTTTTCTATTGATCTCAAAAGTTATAAACAACTAAGAATACCTGAAGACAGAGAACATTTACAACATTTGCTCAACATTGGTGATTTAGCTTGATAACTACGTGAATCTTCTTGCTAGTAATCAAGACTAAGAGTCAGAGCTCCATAAGCACTGCGCTGCTTGACAATGCTAACATGCTGATATCTAGTATATAGGGCTGCGACTATTTTCATTGTTGATTAATCTGTCAGTTATTTTGATGAATTATCGTTGAAACTCTTTTAGTCAGGACTATGTTCACGAGTTTAGGTTAACACGTTAACATTTACCAGTTCATGCTAAACACAAGTACAGCTAAGGCTGATGTGAATGTCATTGGTTTTGCAAGTATTTGGTCAACAAAGTACTGGACAAATTAAAAGTCTGATCTGACGACAGATGAAAAGTTAAGTGATCGCCACAGTTCTGACAATTCGTCTTGAGAGGGGTCATAATACACAATATATATTTGTACACAAGTTCATGGCCATCCACCCATCGTTGAGATATTTTAGTTTGGAACATCCTCAGGGCAAAAAAAATCAGAGGAGGTAAAATATTTCATAAGAGATT